CTGAGCCGGTCAGCGGTATCTAACTAGTGTCCAGGCCTTAGTGGCCGGTAGAGAACTCTTCAACATCGAGTACAACAATTTTGATTTCATGTATTGTTATCTGATCTTCTTACCTTATAAAACAGGTGGGGAAGGGGGCTATAGCTTCCCAATATATTGCTCAGAAAACAAATTTTGAAATAGTATTAACGTTTTTTTTTATGGAATCCGCTAATTTTCAAATGCTATCCGAACTTGACTGCTACTCAGTCTCTGATTATTATACTTTATGTTTTATCAAGCGCCACAAATACGCGCGTCCACCCCTAGACGTTTGATTGTTACAAACTAGATCTTTTAGCTATGTTATTGAAATCGATAATTTCTTGTATTGTATTGTATTTCTTGTATTTCTTTGTATTGTTGTTGCATACTTTATTACATTTTCAATTTCTTTATTACGCTCGCAAATAAACGATGGAACCAAAAATATAGAGAAATAAAGTAATGGACGATAGCCTTTCGCCGTCGTGTAACAAATGAATGACCGGGTAGCCTGTTGTGAGCCTGCAAGTAACAATACGACAATACAGTTGCTCGCGCATGGTCRTGCAAAATGGCCCCTTGTTGTGAAAGAGCTGTCCACATTCAAATGACAGCTTTCCTAGAAGAAACCAACATCATTTCTTCACTCCAAAGTGGAAATAGGAAACAGTACTTAACTGAAACAGCACTTCTGACCACTTCTCTACTTTACCKACGAAATGTTGAAGAACATGGACAATCTCCTTGGTTGTCCTTCTCGATATGTCAAAGGCTCAMGCGAAATCCCTTGRTGTGCAAATTGACGAGAATCTATCATTTTGTTTGTCAAAACATTTTAACCATAGTCCTTTAGCGGTCGTGCAATCTCCCTATGACAATCGCCTTTCGCCTTTTCCACAACAACGTTTTTTGAAATAGGTACAGGGGGCTCCATATGACATTGATACTAGGAGAAAAGGTAGACCGCTAGTTGCTAGTTGCTAGTTGCTAGTTGCTAGTTGCTAAAAGTTCGGTAAGACCGGTAATAGAAAATAGACAATATAACAATTATCACTTAAATTAACGAAAATATAATATAAACAATATAAATAAATTAATACTTTCAAGATTTAAATTCAATATTCTGCTGATTACATTTAAATCACTCAAAAATCAGCTCATGGTTCCTTATATCTACACAAATAACATACACCTAATTGCAAAAACGTTAAATTAAAACTTCTCAAAATTGTCTAGTTTTATTTTTTATAACGTTTTATAGCATTATAAATGGGTTTTGAAAAATATCCCCTCCTTATATATATATATAGTGACAGGGGAGGACAGTCCGGTGGATTTCTCCTAAAAAAGAGACAAAAACGATCGACAAAAATCCTTTTTTCGCGCCAACTTTGAGTCAAAACGAATTTTYATCTGAGACAGTAAGTGTAAAATAACGGTTTTYACCATATTTTGGACGAATGGCATCAAGAGAAAAGTTTTTCGGGAGAAAAACTCAAGAAAAATGACTCCAAAAATAGAGAAACCTTCTCACGTGTCGACAGTATCCTGGGCGGTAAATGCGGTCAGAACTGGCGACTAGACAAATTCCCGACCTCTGTGGGGGACACTGGAGACGTTTTGACTTGTCACAGCATATTTTTTTTTGTCTCTTTTTTTTTTATTTTTGTCTCTACATGTATGTCACTTTTTTGCCGGCTTTTTTTTGCACACAAAAGGTGATTTTTTTTGCTTTGATTTCAAAATATTTGTTTCATCCGAATAGCCATTTTTTCTACACCTTATGTGTGCAGAAAAACAGTCAAATCATGGCTCCATAGTCAGATGAGATCGACGGTATAAAAACGACGGCAAGTTGCTTGGTTTATAAACTCGATGGTCTTGAATTTTAATGAAAGCCTGAGCTCGTGGTTTTGAACCAACCAAGTATAAACTAAAACTATCAAATTTATGTTGATACGAATTATTTAGATTTGTGCCATATATAAATATCCAACATATATATA